ATGAACGAAGCAGCAGGCAAAGTATTGCTGTGCCTCTAGGCAAGACGCTCTGTCCGGTTTCGCTTCAGTTTTGGTGAAACGCTCCGTTTTCAAGCAGCCGGGGAACAGCCCCAGGTGGGCGAGCTGGTTCGGGCGATCGGGCATTCCTTAGGCAGTTCTGCTTTGCCCAGGCTCCTTCTGACCCGTTCTGCCCACGTCCCTTCCCTCTCTGGCCCTTGGCTGTCACCTGGGCTCCAGCCGGCCCTCCCCAGGCGGGTACTTCCAAAAGCAAAGGGCCCCGGGCCGGCGCCAGTGCAGAGGAGGGAGGCTGGAGCCCTCCTGCCTGCTGCCATTTTGCAGCACTACGCACAGCTCTTCGCCTATTTCCTTCTCCAAAGGCTCGTACCGGTGGCGAGGGGATGAAAGGTGGGAATACCTTTATTAGTAAAATACTTTGGAGAAAAATAGAGCCCAATAAAGAACAAACAAGGCTACGTGTATACTCCGCCTTTTCCTGAGAAACCTTCGTCGCAGATTTGCCTTTGCCTCTACCATAGGCTTCAGCCTGGCAAAACATCTCTGTGCCTTGGTCTTAGAAGAGGGGCTGGCCACCGCTGCAGACCTGTGCTCCCGCGCTCACACGGAGGCTCGCTGAGACCGATGGCTACGTGCCACCGTTCTCCTGGCAGCCCCCGCCACAGTCATACAGGAATTCGAGTTACAACGATGACAGAGCCAAGCTCTTCTTAGCACGAGCAGGGGATGTTAAGGGCGACAGCCACCAGCCGGGGATGGGGAGGTTCAGACTGGACAGCAGGGGAAATGTTTTCATCCGGAGGGTGCTGCAGCACGGGAACCGTCACCTGGAGTTTCCAGGCCTTGGCTAGACAAAGCCATGGCCGGCCTGGCGTCACGCCAGCCATGGTCCTGCTCTGAGTAGGCTCTTGGATGAGATAGAGGTCCCTTCCAGGCAACACTACTTTGATAAATTAACAGGACGGAACTGTACGGCAACTACCAGCCTTGCCAGGCTCCTTTAGGGTGTTCAGACCATCGATATCCTTATATTGCTGCGTACCAGCTCTCCCTTGTCCGTTGTAACGTGCCTTTTAGGACACAGGCTCTCTTCAGGCCAGCACTGAGGTTAGACCTGCTTTGAGGAGGGCTCAGATAACTTTCTTAAAGGACCTGCTGGAGGTCCTTTCCCACCTGAATTATTTTAAGCATCCCTCTTAGTCAGCCTTCAGGATGCTAGTTACCCGTGCCATAAGTAAAACCATCATCATCCAAATGCTCGTTCATGTGCATTTAAATAATAAAGGGCTCCACCTGATGCTATTATTAACTTTCTAGCCATAAAGAAAAGTTATTACCTTAAAGAATGATTTGTAATAATCAAGTGTCCGTTCACGAAACTTCTTCAGTTTTACTTTTCAGCAAAATAAAGATGCTTTTTTCTACTCTTCACGTCTCTGTGCGTGTCTCTGTCCCTTCCAACCTCAAACATAAGACCAGCCGTCCCAGGAACTGAGAAATCCCACGTGTGTTTTTTTATCGTAGTCCAGTGACTTCAGAAAAGAGCCAAGGACATCATTGCTCCTACCGACTTTCTCCTCATCGCACGGGCTCAAACGTCAACAGGAACCCGATGTCTTGGTGCTCCTCCTCTCGCTCTGGCGATCGTCACGTGTAACCTGCCCTTAGCAAAGCTCTCGGACGTGTTAGGGTGCCGGGTTCAAGGAAAGGTCAATCAAGGTCACGTAAGGCCACCCTCGGTCCTCGTCCCCTTCTCCCCTTTCCTCCGCTCCCTTCAAGTTAAGGCTGGGTGGGAAGGTTTTCTCCGTGAGTGCCCTCAGGGTGGGCTTGCAGCCTTACAGCCGAGCTGTGAGCCAGGCCAGCCCCGGCATCCCCTTCTGGCGGCGGGGCCTGGGGCCGCCACGGTGCCGTCAGCTGTGAGGAAGGGCACCCTGGGGAAGGAGCAGCCGCCCGAGCAGCAGACACAGGCGGCGGCACTCCCAGGAGCTCTGCAAATTCACATCCTCGCCCCTCTTCCCTTGAAGAAGCAGCAGGTCCCACACACCCCATGCTTACTGCTCGCCCCATGCGGCACCCGGGTGCAAGAGCAGGACACGGGGCAGGGGGTGAGCAGAGCTGATGTTTGTC